GCAGCCTTCAGGACCTCAAGGGAGCCTACAGACAGGAGGGGAGTCAGCTCTTGGAAAGGGGGAGATAACAGCAGGACAAGGGGAAATGGTTTGAAGTGGAGGGAGGGCAGATTTCAGTTGGATGTCAGGGGGAAGTTGTTTGCTGTGAGAGTGGTGAGGTGCTGGAACAGCTGCCCAGGGAGGCTGTGGATGCCCCGTCCATCCCTGGAGGTGTTCAAGGCCAGGTTGGATGGGGCCCTGGGCAGTCTGGGCTGCTGTGAAATGTGGAGGTTGGTGGCCCTGTGTGTGGTGGGGGGTTGGAGCTTCATGATCTTTGAGGTTCCTTCCAACCCAAGCCATTCTGTGATTCTATGAAATCAGGCATCTCCCTCAAGATAACGTGTACCTCACAGACTGAGGAGCAAGTAAATTGGGATTCTAATGTATCTAAAGAAAGCAAACAGCTGATGTTGCCTGGAAAAAAGAAAATGATACTAGGAAATGCATTTTTCTGCCTCCTCCTTTCCCCTGTAGCTACTGCCAAACTTTAAGTACAAGTGACAATTCCTTGCTTCTCTTGCTGGTCATAAAATGCCTGGAGACAGCATCAAATGCATCCATATGGCACTGAATGCTTAGATCAGTGGCACAGCAGTTTCTTACCCAGTCATCCTCAAGCCTCGAGCTGTCAGCTGTGACAGTCAGGTGGGTTTTTTTGTGGTGTGGCATTTGGATCTCAGTGGATTGGTTACATAAAAGGCAGAAGCCTCAGGGAGAATCATACCCTGCTTGTTGGAGGCAGTCTCTTCCCCATCCTCCGTCACTGAGGAGCCTTTGCAAGGTTCACCATTGGCTTAGCATTACTTCAGAGCTCATCATGAAGTTATGTTGTGTAGCATGAGCTGTTTTTCAGGAGCTGCAGCATCACTTGAGCATGGTTTGGGTGTGCTCATTGAAAGCAGTGAACAAAGAACACGCTGAGGACATCACAGGTGTTGTGCAAGAGGCCCCTGGACCAGACAGACCACTGTTTTGTGTTCCAGGTTTTTCTCTGAGCATTAGGAAGGCTGTTATTATTTTTATACATAGAATAATTGTGCAGTTAATACTTTGGATTTGGCCCTGTGTCCCTGAGGTCGTTCTCAGGTGTTTCCTGATGGCTGTGAATCATTTCTTTTCCCACTGAGGTGGTTGCTGAGCTGTGCCACCGCTGGAGCCCGAAGCCCAGAGAGAGCCAACAAACAGCTGTAAGGATGCTGTCCTGCACACCTTCTCCAGCCCACGCTTCCCCAAAAGGTTTCCTGACTTATTAATTGGTGATCCACATCAACAGATCCCAAATACTTCAACATAGACTTCTTTAAAAGAGTGCTATGAAAACTCAAGCAACGTAGAGGTGTTTCACTATTAAAATATGGCAGGAGCCAGCTCAGCTGTGGGATTGGGAGGAATCATGTAGCAAGGTGTGAGCTACAGGCTGCTCTCAGAGGAGCTTTGCTGTTTGGTCCACAGCCTTGGGGGTGGCAAAAATTGCACTGTTCTTTCCTGAGCTTTTATATTATCTACACGTTCCCCTGGGAGGGGAAATCTAACCTGAGATTTTGAAAATGAAAAGAAACCAAAGTCATATGGAGTCATATGGAAATATGTGCCACAGACCAAAATGGTGTGTGATAGGAATTGCACTGTGGGAAGAACGTGAAGTTGGGAGGAAAAATGAGAACTTCATTGAGGGGAAAAGAGGACTTTTAGGGCTTTCATGGACTATCTCTGCATTCTCACTATGGAGACTTAAGACATTTAGCTTGGAGAAGACTGTGGGGAGACCTCATTGTGGCCTTCCAGTACTTGAAGGAAGCAGATAAACAGGAGGGGGAACGGCTGTTTGTGAGGTGGGTAGTGAGAGGACAAGGGGGAATGGTTTTAAAGTGAGCCAGGGGAGGTTTAGGTTGGATATGAGGAGGAAGTTTTTGAGCCAGAGGGTGGTGAGGCAGTGGAACAGGTTGCCCAAGGAGGCTGTGGATGCCCCATCCCTGCAGGCATCCAAGGCCAGGCTGGATGTGGCTCTGGGCAGCCTGGGCTGCTGGTTGGTGACCTGCACATAGCAGGGGGTTGGAACTGGATGAGCATTGTGCTCCTTTGCAACCCAGGCTTATGATTCTGTGACATTCAGTTGGATGGGAGTATATCTTTGCACATGAGGCGTGAACCAGTCTCAGACTGCTGGCTTTTGGAAAGCTTTCTTACTACTTTTTGTGGGAGTGGAGAGGGAGATAAGCCTTAGAATCTCCAAGTGGTTTAGGCTGGGAGGAACCCAAAGTCCTGGATCTCTGCAGCACGCCATGCTGCTGCGAGTTAAACAACTGATAGCATAGAGTTTCACAGAGCTGATGTTTCCTACAGTAACTGTAGAGGGTAAAAGAATCTGGAGCAGAAATCTGACCCAGCCCAATTCTTTGATTAACGCGGGTGCAGAACCACTTACAATCCCCTTGGATGTAAGCACACGTGTGGCAGACTGAACTTGAAGGATAATCTCGTGGAGCACAGCACTCCTGAAGATTTCGCTTGGGTGATTCTGATGTCAAAATCTATTGCAGATTCCTTCCAGGGCAGCTTTTCAGTCCTCAATTCTGCCTACCTACACCCTGGTCCTAATTCCTTTGAGCCAAGGATCCAGAACAATTGTCCATGTATCAGGATAAGTAATCTGCTATTTGCTATTATTCCTAGTGAATGGGAATCTCGTTCCTGTGAGTGGTCTGGTACGTGAAGTTGCTGCTTGTTCCTGACAACATACGTCAGTGCTGATGTTTTTGCTATTGAGACAGGATCCTGTTGAAGTCAGAGCTTGTTGAACCCCATCTTGGGGTCAGTAACAGCAGGCTGCTTGGCTGGAATGTAAGAAGATGGATTGGAGGGAAGTGGATGTGTCTGCTTTTGTGTCATCATGGTATCATTAAGGTTGGAAAAGATTTCTGAGATCATCACATCCAGCCTTCAGCCCATCTGAAGATCGTCACATCCAGCACCGTACCCACTGACCATGTCACTGCAACACCAGTGCCAGGTGTCACAGGCCTTGCTGCTCTCAGCCATGACAGGACCTTGGGAAGAAGCCCTTTCTAGGTCAGAGAAGTGTGCTTCAGGTTCAGTTTCCCTTCTGTTTGGGGTTGGACTCACCAACCACCACTTGGAGATTCTAAGACTCTCCGTCTCCCCTCCCACAAAAAGTGGTAAGAAAGCTTTCCAAAACCCAGCAGTTTGAGACTGGTTCATACCTCATGTGCAAAGATGAACTCCCATCCAACTGAATGTCATAGAATCATAGGCCTGGGTTGCAAAGCAGGGCCTTGCTGCTGCTGCTGCTGCTGCTTGGAGGATCGCCCTGTGTGCATTCTCTGCTGAAGTACTCAAAAGATTGAATGCAAATGAATGCTGACGAGCTTTTCAGGCTAGCACATATTTTCGTAGTCGCCCTTTTCGTGAGGCAGTGAAGTGTTAATTATTTGATTAGTGGTTGTTGTAGATAAGGGAATAATTGGTCCCTCTTTGTAAACTATGGCAGTTGTTGACAGGAAGGAGCGGTCAGCCAAATATGGGGCACAGCAACTCGTGTGTGTGTGTGTGTGTGTGTGTGTGTGTGTGTGTGTGTGTGTGTGTGTGGATTATTGCCTGGAGAGATTGGCCGAGCTGTAACCTTTGCTCTGTGCTGACATCTGGGTTGTGACAACACTTCTATTTCATATTTGTTTCCCTGGTACCAGGCATTTTTTCATAGAATGAAAAAGATGGCCTGGGTTGCAAAGGAGCACAACGCTCATCCAGTTCCAACCTCCAGCTATGTGCCTGCAGGGTCACCAAGCAGCAGCCCAAGCTGCCCAGAGCCACATCCAGCCTGGCCTTGAGTGCCTGCAGGGATGGGGCATCCACAACCTCCTTGGGCAACCTGTTCCACTGCCTCACCACCCTCTGAATTGAGGGTGCTCTGTTTCCTAGCAACTTTAATAATTTGGGGCATCGCTTGAAATTCATATGCCTCCATTTCCATTGCAAGCCATTAAATCTTCATCTGCAGCTGTGGCCAAGGAGAAGAGCTGAACCTGTGCCCCAGGAGCAAACAGCTTGAGTGGCATCTGCTGTCTGAAGGCATCTCTCTGAGATGAACTTAAGGAGCTGCAGATTTCACTGACGTCATGAGGCTGTAGCAAAAGCAGATGTTGATATTTTTGCAGGAGCTCTTTGGTATCTTTTAGGAGGTCCATATCACTGAAAGGAAAAGCACGGAGCGTGACAATGTGTGAAACGTGGGATTCTTGTAGCTTCTTTGCTGTGCTTAGCATTTAAAAATGTTGCCGCTGTGAAATTTGACTTGCTTCTCTTCTTTGTGTCCAAGTTAGTGTAACATGTGGGCATGAGCTGAAGATGATATCAGCCATGTACATAATGGCTTTATGTGTGCTCATCTGCTAGGTAGGTGTCATTCCTTGTTATATCTTGCTATTTCACTCGGCTCTGTTGCTTCCCTTCCTGCTGTTCTGCACCAGACAGTCATAAATATTCATGCACCCTTCCTGCCATCCATTTAGGCTTGTATACCTCGCTCATGGTCTGTTCGGGTTTGTTAAATGCAGGCTTTTCTTTTTAAACACTGGAGTGCTGAAGGCTGTCTAGTGAGCTAAAAGGCTGATGTCACATTTTCTGGTTGGCAAAGCTGTAGGGAACTGCTGAGATATGGAAGCTTTCAAATATTTCGCTCAATTCTTCCGTGACAAAGAATGGACTGAAATTCGAGGTGGTTATGTGGCAAAATGAGAGATGAAATTTCCTCAGCAGCAAACGTTCTGCCCGTGTTGTTGCTTGCTTCGTTGCAGCCAGAGGTGGAACTGCTTTGCACCTGATTGCTCATCTGCAATAAAAACTGTCTCGACGTGCCTTGAAAAGGCCCCAGAATCACCAAGGTTGGAAAAGACCTGCAATATCATCCAGTCCAACCATCCACCTATAACCAATAGTTCTCACTAAACCATGTCCCTCAACACAAAATCCAAACGTACACAAGATCCAAACGTAAATCCAAACACCAGTTTGGATTGAGTCTTTTTAAGGACCATGGTAACCGAATTTACAAGGAGAAAATAAGCAACTTTTGTTCCTTATCTTGTATTTAAAGCTGTGCATAAAGGGGATGGGAAGGGTCACTTTTGTGTTGGTCACTTTGTGGGTTGGTTTCTCAAATCCCAGATCCCACAGAATTTATCACAGTCTCGTGCAGAACTCTAGCTTTTCTTCATAGAGGCATCTGGGAGTGGCTCTCAGACACTGAGCAGCTGACGTCACAGCTGTTGTCAGTTCCTTCTTATTGTTCTGTCTGCTGGTGACTAGAAAGCAATAGAAAGCAGAAAAAGGTGAAGTACACCTTCTTGTAGGTTTGTGAGGCTGCTGTAGGAATGAAGTTCAGCTCCGAGAATTCCTGGGGTCTTACCCACGTGTAAGAGTTCTCATAAGCACAGATCACAGCATCAAAAGGATTGGAAGGGATCTCCTGAGGCCATCGAGTCCAACCCCTGCTAAAGCACGTTGTACAGGTAGGCATCCAGCTGGGTCTGGAATATCCCCATAGAAGAGACTCCACCACCTCTCTGGGCAACCTGTGCCAGTGCTCCATCACCTGTCCTGTAAAGATTTTCCACATGTATGTATGGAACTTCCTATGTTCAAGTTTTAGGTCATTACTCCTTGTCCTATCTCTACACAACACCAAGAGTCTGGCCTCATCCATTTGCCTCCCAAGGAATCATAGAATGGCCTGGGTTGCAAAGGAGCACAATGCTCATCCAGTTCCAACCCCCTGCTGTGTGCAGGGTCACTACCAGCAGGCCAGGCTGCCCAGAGCCACATCCAGCCTGGCCTTGAATGCCTGCAGGGATGGGGCATCCACAGCCTCCTTGGGCAACCTGTTCCACTGCCTCACCACCCTCTGGCTCAAAAACTTCCTCCAAATATCCAACCTAAACCTCCTCTGTCTCACTTTAAAGCCATTCCCTCTTGTCCTATCACTCCACCCTCACAAACAGCCGTTCCCCCTCCTGTTTATCTGCTCCCTTCAAGCACTGGAAGGCCACAGGGAACCCATTACCGTGTGCCTGCTGACTTGTAGCTGTTATGGTGCTGCTTTATTGCGGACACAGAATCACAGAGCATCCTGAGCTGGAAGGGGCCCACAAGAATGAAACCACTGATTTTCGATAAACTTATTGGATGTCCCTGGAATTCCTGGATGCCATGATATGAACGTTATGATGTGTTTCATACTGCAAGAGTGGGAAGTGGGCTTTCCTGCTTAGTGTGTAGATCCTGCACAGTGATGCTGCAGGCTGCTGGCAGTCGCTGAGGCCAAAGGAATCGATCCGGTGCTCTATCAAATAGTTTTCAATAGTGCTTTTAATTAAAGAAAAGAATTAAAAATAGTCATTATTGTGCATGGTGATCTAAAAAGAAATGAAGGATTGGCAGCAATTGATTGGCCCCCAAAGGCCAAGTACAGTTGTTCAACGTTGTTATTGATTGCACCGCTCTGTCTGGGACTGCTTTGGGAGGTAGGATGCTATAAAAGCTACACAGATTGCCCAAAAAACCCCTTCTGAGTTGGACACTGTGTTGTCTGTCCTTCTCCTCTTCATCAACCCATATGAGTGGTTCCTGTGCACAACAGTAATGGAAGGAACAAAAGTAGAAAATGATGGAACGTCTCTAAAATTACCAAGATTTCTTTTAAAAATACAACCCAAACACCCCGTTCTTTGCATTTCTGGGTCTCATTTGGTTCCCACTTGGGTTACTGTGAGTGAACTTCCTAAACAGAATCTTAAGCTCCTTTAAAGATGCAAATCTGTTCAGGGGTGTAAATGATAAGTTAGATCTCTAATAAGGCTGGGAATAAATTTTCTTAAAAGAGGTTGGTTGAACCTCTTTTCTTTGTACATAAAGAAGCCATTGCTGCTTTGGAATAATGCAAGAGAACAACTGAAGTGGTACGAATGCAACTTGCACAATTTTTGTAGTGTTAACAGCACAAAATGTTCTTATTTTGTGGAATCAATGGGGGCAGCCATTCCGCTCCGCAGCCGGGCTGGGAGGGCATCCTCCAGCCAGCATTACCATGGGGAGCCCAAATGTGCTCTGCCTGATACGTGTGTAAAATAAAATAAAATAAATGTACAGCCACCCAGTTTTGTTAAAAATAATGGATTTTCTTTTTCTTTTTTTTTTCATCCCCCTGGAGCTACTTAAGGCAGCACAGTGGATGTGTTTGGTGGAGTTTTCTGCTTTACGAGCTTTCTCCTCATTTTTCTTTTGGATGTTTTTTGATTTATTGGACATGTAAGGATGGCAGGTATTGGGTTCGATGGCCCTCTGGCCTGACCTCATCTGGCACCTTGCAGCAGGAGAGCAGTGGCGGAGTCAAAGAGTTCTGACAGAGTAGACAGAGAACTGAAATCAACAGCAAACACTTTGGGGTAAACAATTCTTCAGTTGGAGTTTTGAGTTAGTGCAGGAGGGGAAAGCATAAGCTCAGCCTGCTGGGGTTGTGCTGGGTTGTGTTGGGTTGGGTTGTGTTGGATTAGGGTTGTGTTGGATTGTGCTAGGATTGTACTGTGGTTGTGTTGGATTGGGTTGTGTTGGGTTGGGTTGTGTTAGCTTGTGCTGGGAACGTGTTGGGTTGTGCTGGGTTGTGTTGGGGTTGTGTTGGGTTGGGCTGTGTTGGGTTGGGTTGTGCTGGGAGTGTGTTGGGTTGTGCTGGAGTTGTGCTGGGGTTGTGTTGGGTTGTGTTAGAGTTGTTCTGGGTTGTGTTGGTGTTGTGTGAGGTTGTGTTCAGGTTGTGTTAGGTTGTGTTAGAATTGTGTTGGGTTGTGTTGGGGTTGTGTTGGGTTGGGGTTGTGCTGAGGTTGTGCTGGAGTTGGTGCTGCCCTTGGAGTTTCCCAGCTGTGC